GTCAAATTCATCTTTACCTAAACAGCCGTACAGCTCTACTCGCATTGTTATCCAATTATACCAAGCTGTCGGTCGGAAACGGATGTATCTTGCTCTAATTGGTGGAAAGAGGTCATGGTACACGACAGTGTCTCTGTCTGTGTTTCCAGAGAAATTCTAGAATGAAAAACAGTAAGTAGGCAGTAAACTTACTGCCTATGTCGTATACAGCATACTCTTCGACCTTGAGTTGTCTAAACTATCTAAGCCAAATTCAAATCTACCGTTCTAAAAAAGTCCGCAAAAAGCCGTTAGTGACGCTATCCGTGCGGCATGAAATTTGACAGTTGTTTGATGTTAGCCTTTATCATGAAAAACGAAAATATCCATAGAAAATTAAAGACTTAAAAATAAAAGCTAAGTTTTTCGTTTGTCTCACAATGTAGTCACGTGTGATGTAGATCGCGACGTTTCGACTGCATCCTGCTAGTCTTCTTCGCCTGAAGAAGATTAGCAGTATGCAGTCGAAACGTCGCGATCTACATTACACGTGACTACATCGTGAGACAAACGAAAACTTAGCTTTTATTGCTATTCACTACGATGAATAACCACAACCTTTTCTACGAAATTAAAGACTTAATTCTCCAATGAAATTTTTGGAGATTCTTTAGACTCTAATCCGACAGTTAAGATAAAAGTGTGCTAAGAGCGAGATTCCGAATCAAGTCACGTCATTTCTTTCGTGATACGATGAAAAATAGGTATAAAACAAGTCCTAAACGTCTCTTTTAATGTTAGACTATCCACGGATTTAAATCATGGAGATTCAAGCCAGTTAAAATTCTCTACTCTGATTCTTGATATAATTATCTTATTCGTGAGTGTAATTTTTCTGCTGTAATTTTAATTAGACTCCTTTAACTATTTTATTCCCCATAGTCGGAGGCTGTGAGAAATGAACTGCACAGACATTGGTGCTTATTCCCTGGAGCAACGCACTCGTTCCTCTTAATTTACGCTGAATTTTATAATTTCGAATTGATCGCTTAGAGAAGTGCATGGTTTATACAGATGGACTACTGATTACTTAAGATAATTATCAAACCTTCGCCTCCATATGTCCATGTTCTCTATAAGTGTGGAACTTTATTCCATCGCTGCTGTAAGTTAGCTCGTAGCTGGTTACCCAGTTCAACGAAGATTGGCTGTTTCGTCCTTGCGTTGCAACCCTTGTTATTTTAACGTGTGGATTAATCAGCTCTATCTGAAGCCACTGGTTTTCATCACTTGTGCCAGCCACCCAAGCCCCTGCTTTGCCATGTGATTTTTTAAAGTGAAGTCTACCGTTATAAGCAGCTTTATTGTGATCCCATTGAGAAGAGGCACTAATTTGATTGTCGGCGATGGCCCTGCTCTCCATCCCTAGAGCTTCAGCACACCCTGAGTAGCATTAATGTTTTGTATTAAACACAAATATCATGTTTTTATTTCAATAGCTACTTCAAGTCAATCAAAGCGTGCTCTAATTTTTTCGTTTGTCAAGTATTCTTACACTCCACAATTTTATTCCATGTCATTTTATCATACTGACATCATGCACACTAAGTTTTT